CCCCCCCCCCAACCCTAAACCCCCAAACCCAACGACTAACAAAGACCCTTCTATAGGGGCCTTGATAATTAGAATGGGGCTCTGGGGTATATTATACGATACATACAATAAGGAACCACCAAAATAGTGTTGGTAATTGTTTAAGCGCCTATGTTACATTTCCAACGGCACGCGATGGGCAGCAGCGCTGCCAAGTTGGTTGCATTGCCAGGCTCTGGATCCAACTCCTTGGCACAAGAAATGAGAGACGAGACGTGAGGGAGGCTAGAAGGATTTTCATAGGGGCGTTATAAGGTTTTCAGGATTTTATAGAGCTTTTCTGAGGGATTTACAGGGCTTTACCCTAAACCCTAAACCCTAAACCCTAAACCCTAAACCCTAAACCCCTTTATAGGGTTTGGGGGGATCTTATAGAGCTGCTAAGGGCTTTGCCGGGCTTATGCGGTTTTTGAGGGGTTTCATGGGGATTTCAGGGTGCGAAAAAGGGTTGCAACGGGCTTTATAGGTTGTTTAGGGTTTAGGGTTTAGGGTTTAGGGTTTAGGGTTTAGGGTTTAGGGTTTAGGGTTCAAGAGATGAAAGATTTGAGGGCCCTCAGAAAGCGTTAAGGGTTCCTTGAAGGCTGTTTTTCACACCCCCCTCTCGTCGAACTTCCACACAAGCTATTCCACACAGCCCTCAGGCCTGCAGCCACACCACCCCTTTCAACCTCACCCCCTACTGTCTATCCGATGCCACATAAACCCTAAACCCCTAAACCCCTAAACCCCTAAACATTTAATCCTGAACCCCTAAACCCTAAACCCCTGACCCCTACACTCCGCCTGTCGCATTGCATGTCTACTTCCTCAGATTTCAGGCCCTACACACCTCAACCCTGCACCCCCTTTGTATAGGAACCTTGGGACTCTGAATAGGGAAAGTACACTAGGGTTTAGGGTTTAGGGTTTAGGGTTTAGGGTTTAGGGTTTAGGGTTTAGGGTTTAGGGTATACTAACTGTACGATACTATAACTACCCCATATAAACCCGACCCAACCATCACACAGCGGGCCGAAACACGCTGGGAATCTCATCTTCCTCCTCTTCCTCCTGGAGCTCACTTTTGCTTTCTGGGCTTGGGGTTGTTGTTTCGGATATAGAAAATACGGTCCATAAGGGCTTAGCACTCTGTTTAATCTTAGGGTTCAAGGCTTACGGTTTATAAGGGCTTCGGATTTAGGGTGCAGGATGTACGGTTCAGGGCAGAGCGAAGGTGATGGGCTGGGTATGGAAAGGCTGAAGGGCTTATGCCCCGAATGCTGAGCCGGGGAGCAGGATTGAGATTTGAGTAGTTCTCTAAATTAGGGTCCCTGTTTAGGTCCCCAATATAGTACGGAACCCTTATAAAAAGGACCCCCCAAAGGGACCCTAATTTAGAGAACTACCCATTTAATACAACAACAACAACTCCGAAACCTTCAAAGACCAGGTCGTCGTAGATGCTTTGGCCATACAAGAGCTCGTCTCACGGTGTTCTGCTGGGTCGGCTTACTGTGGAGTTGAACGGTCATACCTTAAGAACCCAAAACCCACTTTTTTGTTCTTATTAACTTATTATAAACCCTGATATGGGATTTATAGAGACCCTACAAAAAAAGTAGGTTTTGGGTTCTTAAGGTACAGACCATCCAGTCAAAAATTCTCGGGTCTCCGATTTTCTGGTCTTTTTGGGCCTTCATACACTAGTCACCAGGTTCCCCAGCAGCACCTTAATTATGCCGGCGTAGACCCCAAACAGTGAGGAGGGCCAGAAGAGGCCAGAAGATAAGTGCCACCACGTGCGCCTGCGAGGAGGGGCCAGAAAAAAAAAAGCGCCCCACCGCGCCGCTGCGGCCCGCACGTCAGTGGGCCCCCATCAGAGGCCAGAACAGGGCCCCACCGCGTGCGCCGCTGCAGCCCGCAACCTAAGTGGGCCCCCGCGAAGAGGCCAGAACAGCGCCCCACCGCGCGCGGCTAGCAACCTATGAAGAAGCCAGAAGAGGGTGCCCCACCCACCGCCCACCGCTCCAACCCGCAATGTAGGTGGCCCCCCCAAATAAGCCGAAAGAGTCCGAGAACGTCGGAAGAGGCCAGAAGAGGGCTTGAGCATCGAAACGGAGATGCCCAGAAGCCCCCCTATACAACGGTGTGCCAGAACCTATAAACCTAAACCCTCAACCCTATAAACCCTAAACCCTACTAATTACCGTATGCACACCTTACCAAAGCCGCCGGACCGTCCTCCGAGCACTCGGGCAGAGCAGCGCTGAGCGCCGGCGCCGCGGTGCGAACCTGCCTGGGTGGGCTTTAGGGTTTAGGGTTTAGGATTTAGGGTTTAGGGTCTAGGGTTTAGGGTTTAGGGTGTAGGGTTTAGGGTTTAGGGTGCAGGGTTTAGGGAATAGGTCGAAAGAAGTATAAACTGGTGTAGTGTCGTATAACTCGTCTCGTATCGTATCAGATCATACAACATCCAGTAGAGTATAGAGTATAGCGTAGCAGAGTCTTCACAGTATAGGAGAGTATGGGACAGTCTACTATACTATACTATACTATACTATACTATACTATACTATACTATACTATACTATACTATACTCTATATACTATATACTATATACTATATACTATATACTATATACTATATACTATATACTATATACTATATACTATATACTATATACTATATACTATACTATACTATACTATACTATACTATACTACCCTACCCTACCCTACCCTATCCTACCCTATCCTACCCTATGCTATGCTATGCTATGCCATGCTATATCATAACCCTCACTAAAGTCCTTACTCCTCCAAGGACAGGATGACTGATGCCTAGGCTCCCTCAGAAGACTCCGTGGAGGGGCCAAAAGGAACCAAATAGAAGGAGTTTAGGGTCTAGAAGTTTAGGGTCCAGGGGTTTAGGGTTTAGGGTTTAGGGTTTAGGGTCCAGGGGTTTGGGGTTTAGTTTTTAGGGGTTTAGGGGGTTCGGGGTTAGGGTTTACGGACGAGGGTTTAGGATGGTTTAGCATTTAGGGGTTTAGGGGTTTTGGGTTAAGGTCCCCCAAGGTTTAGGGTTTAGGGTTTAGGGTTTAGGGTTTAGGGTTTAGGGTCCCCCAAGCCGCGTTGCGGTTGGTATCGTTGTTGAAATCCATTCGAACAGTTTTATGGCCTTGTACACGATTCTTACGTGAACCCATCGCAGAGCCCTCAAATACTCACTTCACTATACCGCTCTTTGGATGCTTGTTTGGACATTTAGAGCCCTCACAGGCTCTCTACTGGGACTTCGATGGGTTCTGGGCCGTTGTGCAAGGTTTAGGGTTGTAGGTTGTGTGAAGGTACGCGCTGTCATAAGGTGTTAAGGTGTTGACAGGGTTCCACAACGTGTGCCATGGCAAAAATGGCAAAAACTTCGAGCAGGGTCATGGGCATGGCTGCATGCAATCTTCAGATACAAAGGGGCATTCAGACTCATCCTGCTCTCCTGCCACGAATGGTGACCCATCTGGGTAGTAGAGATCCGACGTCCTTTCGCCGTCCTCATTAAAGATGAACTGGCGCAGCGCGATCACCTCTATTTGGAGCCACTTGTCTTGGACTCTTGCTGGCACCTCCGAGTCGACATGATCTGCAAGGCTTGTGCAGTCAGTAAGCACAACGTGTGGCAGCTTCGCTATGGCAAGGTATTCCCATTCGGTCCCCAGGTTTGAAGAAACAGTTGCGGCTTTCCTTTTCCACACTGCGTAACTACACATAACAGCAAGGGAATATCTATATATATATATACACATACACATATACATGTGTATCTATATATATATATATAAGGTCAGTCCTGGACTTAAATCCCATTTCAGAAACCTAGTCGAATTCTTATCATTCTCTCCCAGTTTCAGAACCCATTCTTTTTGTTTTTCAACCTAAAACTGAACATGTTACAAACCCTAGTGATAGCCACTCCTGCCGATCATGCTACTACTGAAGCATCTTATTGCTTTAGGGTAGTGTAGGGATTCTTGCAGGGAGTTTATACTGGGTAAAGCCGGACTTGCAAGGTCTTCATGCTTTGCTGGGCTTTGAAGTAACCAGGGAGAAAAAGTATAGACTTTTATTTCATAGTGGTTCCTTTAAGGAACAGGTCCCAAAAAAAAGTATTAAAGTATGGTACTCCAAAGCCCAGTTGTGTTAGCAGGAAACGGCTTTCACAGGACTTGATGGGGACACTCTGGACTGGGCTTATGCAAAAAACCTAAACAGTAAACAAAACAAAAACACCCCCTCATCACAACCCTAAACCCTAAACCCTGAACCCTAATTACAACCCCAAACCCCTAGACCGAAACCGTCAAGAAGTCTTGAAGGAAACTTCTCGCGATCCTGAGAATAAGCAGCCCTACACAAGGACCCCCTCGTATCAGCAGCCCCATGTAGAACTAAATCCAGACCACACATAACCCCATGTAAGAACAATCGAGAAAACTTCATATGAATTCTTGATAAGAGGCCCCGAGCCGATACAAACTTCTAGCATACTGGATTTAAGCCACTTAGGGTTTAGGGTTTAGG